GTGGGAGAACTTGCACAATTGGTGGCTGACTAAATACTTTTTTGCCCCACTGTAGTTCTGTCATCATGCCCGGAGGTCCAGTGGTGGTATCAAGCCTGCTGGTTAGCTGCATCGTTAGTAGTTTATTGTACTCTTTTGAAAATTAATGTTCTTGTTTTAATTAACTCTTTTAATTGGTTTTAATGGGTTTTATTTTGTTTTATTTCTAATTGTTGTTTTTAATTATGTAAGCTGCCCAGAGTCACTTAGGTGAGATGGGTGGCAAAATAAATTGAATACATCAATAAATAAATAACCAGGTTCCAAGGACCAAATTCACTGGGCATTTGAACAAGGAGAACAAACAGTACAGTTTGCTCATGCTATTCAGCACACGAGAAAAAAGAAAGGAGAGCAGAAGCCAGTGTGATGATACAATACGTTTTGTGACATCTTAAAACAAAAAAGGACATGCGTAAGAGTTAGAAAGTTCGATCACCCAAGTATAAACAGGTACCGTGGAATGGTAGTTTCAGAACTCTGAATGAATTTGCAAACTGAGACTAAGAAGAGCAAGAAGGACATCTTTAGATCAGTTAAAAAGAAAAGAAAAAAGAACCAATGTATCAGCTGCCCAATGAAAACAGCAACACATAAGAAAGATAAGAGCTATTTAACTTATATTGCCTCAAACTTTTCTATTAAGAGAGTTGTGTGTTCCATCAGGCAATTCAGAAGAGCAGAATAAAAGAGCAAGATTGAAGTTTTAGATTTCCAAAATTTAGATTTCGAAGCATGATCAGGGAATATCTAACAATTCTGAATGAATTTAAATCTCCAAGATCAAATGAACTGTATCCTAGACTACTGTAGATACTTGCTGATGATTTATTGGTTTAACCTTTATATATTATCACAGAGAAGAAGTAGAGAATGGTAAATGCCAGATGACTGAAGAACAGCAAATATTGACCCTGTAATTAAAAACAAACAAAAAACCCACTACAATCCATTTAGTCTGACACTGAGACCTGAGAAAATTCAAGAGCAAATCATAAAGAGATCAATCTGTAAGCACCTTGAAAACAATGCAGTAATTGCCAGAAGTCAGTGAGGACTGTCAGAAACATGTTTCGCTGGACTAACCTTGCTCACTTTTGTTGAAGAAACCACAGCAGGTGGCAGCACTTAGCCAACCATGGCTGATCTTGAAAAAGCTAAGCATGGTCAGATGGGAGACTATCAGGAAACCTCAGAGCTATAACTAGACTGGAAAATACCAAACATTCTGGAAGAGGCAAGCTACTTTCCTATTATTGCCAAGAAAACATGATTCTCGTGTTTGGAAACACCTGAAGTCTGGTCTCATAGGAGGAAAGCAATGACCTCCTGCTCAGAAGTACAATTAAGATTTCTAACAATTGGTGTTATAAATTCTGTTGCATGGTATTTCCTTCACACTAATTGTAACAGGCTGCATTGTGTTTCCTGTACAATACTGTTGTTTTATATTTGATATACTATTGTATTGTTAGGCTTTTAAAAATTGGTCTCAGGCTTTAAATGAATCAATAAACAGCATGCTTATATGGTCACCAGAATCAAGACAGATTTTCCCCTAGTTTCCTTAGTGGACCACAGGAATGCTGTAGATATAATATTCCTTGATTTCAGTAAAACACTTGAGAAAATATCCCATGAAATTCTGAATAGCAATATAGTTAACTATGAATTGGATTGCATGGTAATTAAATGGATACATAGCTGGTTCAAAAATTGTACTGAAGAGTGCTCATCAGTGATTCTCATCAAACTAGAGAGAGGTACCAAGTTATCAGAGCATGAAAGAATGTATTTATTTATCAAATTTATATGTTGCCCATATCACTGTATAAGTGACTCTAGGCAGCTTACAAGTAAAAAAGAAGCTATAAAAATCTTTACAAAAATATACGAAGTTAAAAGATGGAGAGAGCATCCTTAAGCCACCAACCACTCCCAGTGCTGTGAACCCCGATTGGATCCCCATGCTAGTTGGCAGAGCCAGGTCTTGATGCTCTTCCAGAAGGTCAGAAGAGTGGGGGCCAATCTCAGTTCAGGAGACAAGATGTTCCACAGGGTAGGGGTGATGACAGAAAAGGCTCTCCTCCTAGACTCTGCCAGTCAAAATTCTTTAGCCAATGGGGTCCTGCTGGACCAGGTGGGATGGATCAATGTAATCAGGACAAGATGGTTCCTCAGGTAACCTGGGCCCATGCCATGAAGGGCTCTGAAGATCATAACCAACACTTTGAATTGGACCT